GCAAGTCTTAAAATAACTAAAATTAAAAGTACATGGAGAATGTAGGTTTGACTGGGCACAGACCTAGGTTGCCACCCCGAATTGCCTTCACATAAACCGTTTTAATAAAAATTTCATAACTTAATTTTTGCAATATCCTGTTATACACAATCTATACTAATAAAAGCCTAGGTGGCCCTCGCCTGTGACATCACAAGATGGCCAAGTGCACAGTGGAGGCGGGGCCTGGTGGAGGAGGTGGGTCGCGGCAGGGAGGGCAGTTGTGGGCCATCAGGCCTGCAGGGGAAGGCAGTTGGAGGACATCGGGCCAGCAGGGGAGGGCAGTTGGGGGTGATCACACCTACAGGGGAGGGTAGTTTGGGACGATTGGGCCGTCAGGGGAGAAGTTAGGTGAGATAGGGCCAGCAGGGAAGAGGTTAGGAGGCGATCTGGCTGGCAGGCAGAAGCGGTTAGGGGCTATCAGGCAGGCAGGCAGGCGAGTGGTTAGGAGCCAGTGGTCCCAGGTTGTGAGAGGGATATCCGACTGCCGGTTTAGGCCCAATCGCTGTGGGATCGGGTCTAAACCAGCCATCAGCCATCCCCCAAGGGGTCCCAGGTTGCAGAGGGTGCAGGCCAGGCAGAAAGACACCTCCCATGTATGAATTTCGTGCACCGGGCCACTAGTTATAACGCACAACATTCGCTAATGACTGATTCATATTGTGTTGCATTCATTTCTCTTACATGCCTTATGGCCCGATCGCTGTGGGATCGGGTCTAAACCAGCCATCAGCCATCCCCCGAGGGGTCCCAGGTTGCAGAGGGTGTAGGCCAGGCAGAAAGACACCTCCCATGTATGAAGGTGCACCGGGCCACTAGTTATAACGCACAACAACATTCGCTAATGACTGATTCATATTAATTGTGTTGCATTCATTTCTCTTAGATGCCTTACGCACAGCCATACCATTTCTCTCCACTAATACTAGCAGTGAATAATTTAGCAGCCGATTGCCACGTCATTAGTCTTGAACTGACTTGTTTGGTGTGCGCAACAGGAAATATTTTGCTTTTGGAGAACAAGAAAAATAGGTTTGGCCCTGGTCGGTTTGGCTCAGTGGATAGGTCGGCGTGCAGACTGAAGGGTCCCAGGTTCGATTCCAGTCAGGGGCATGTACCTTGGTTGCAGGCATATCCCCAGTAGGGGGTGTGCAGGAGGCAGCTCATTGATGTTTCTCTCTCATTGATGTTTCTAACTCTCTATCCCTCTCCCTTCCTCTCTGTAAAAAATCAATAAAATACATTTTAAAAAGAGAAAAAAAATAGGTTTGCATTATGCTCATTAATTTGTGCAGTTATTCAGTGTCTGGTAAGTTAATGTTCAAGAAAAAATATTAATTTTTATTAAAATGTTCTATTATTTTATGTTAACGATTACTCATTTGTTCCAGCCCTTTGTATTCAGCATGTCTCTATCGAAATAAATGGAGATGTCTGGGACATACAGGAAAAAAGGTACCAAGAAACAATGGATTAAGAAAATAAGAATCTGGCCCTAGCGGCTTTGGCTTCGTGAATAGAGCATCATCCTGTAGACAGAAGGGTCCTGGGTTTGATTCTGGACAAGAGCACTTACCTCAGTTGCAGGACCCTAGTTCAGGCTCCTGTAGGAGGCCACCAATCGATGTTTCACTCTCACATTGATATTTCTCTGTCTTTTCCTCTCTTCCACTCTCTCTAAAAATCAATGGAAAAATATCCTCAGGTGAGGATCAAAAAAAATATATATATATATATAGTAATTTGAATAATGAAAGAACCAGAGGAAGGGGTCATTTCCCTGAGAGTCCCAATGATATTCAGGAATCTGGGATTCAAATCCAAAATGCCTAACTCAGGGCATGGGGAATCTGATCACTGCCCCCCATTTCCCTCTGCACTGGCTTTGGGACTCTAAAACACCCTGCCCACCCTGATGCCATCTGGTCCACCTGAGAGGCCTGTTCTAACACAAGAACCCCCATGACAGGAGACCAAGAAAATGGAGAGCTCTACCAAGCAAGGGTGTATCGCATTACCAAATGACAAGACTTGTGAACGTGATGGAGAATGTTAGTAATGCAGATTAAAATTAAAAGTGTCCATTGCTTTGTGCGGACCAGGAGAAAAGTAATTATATCATTCCAATTCGAAAAACCTTTATTCCATCAAGCCAAAAAGGCACGACATGAAATGCCAACTTCCATCTTGGTTGTTTCACTCTCCTTTTGTTAAAACAGCCAAAACTCACAGCAGATTAGGCAGAACCTATGACCAGACATTTTAACAGAGATACAGAGGTAGCAAAAACACACCCGAGGAAGGGCTCACCATAAATCCTTAGGAGAAAGCAATAAAACAACAGTGAGGTAGCATGACAAAGTTTTAAGAGATGTTTAAATTAAAAAAAAAAAAGATTGACCAAACCAACTATTCTCTAGTGTGTGGAAGAACTGAATCCCTCATACACTGCTGGAGAAATGGAAACAGGTCAATCAGTTTTGATCACAACCTGCAAATGTCTGTAAGTTAAACATTCACCTACCCTACAACTTAAGACTATGTACTGAGTTATTGACAAGGGTAAGTGAAACATAGCCACATAAAAAATTATACAGAAAAGTTTACAGACTTTATTTCAAACCCTTATTTTAAATAGTCAAAAACAACCATATTGAATGAAGAAACTAATTATGATATATTTGAAGATAAAAATATTTCTCCAATAAAAGTTGAGCTTCTATTGTGTCATTAATAAATCTCTAAAGATTTATACAATGTAAACAAAAGCAGAAAAAATACTGTCATTCCCATCATGTAAAATTTAGAAATTACAAAGGTATTAAAATGGGATGTAAATCAATGGTTACTTGGAAAGCTGTAAGGGGCAGAGAGATTCAAATAGAACATGGAGTAAATTCAGTGGCATACATGGTCAGTGTTGACTGTAGTGATGGATTCACTTAATTCCATATGTGAAGACTCCTCAAATATTATATTTGACATATGTCATTTATTAAAAATGAAAACGTTTTAAAACTGGCTAAAGGTAAAAGAAGTTTGCATATCCAACTTTTTGGGGAAAATAGATTTGACACATTGCAAGTCAGTCCACATTCTCATGCCCTGTGAAAGAGACCTTCCTCAGTGACAGTGAACAATGAAGGACTTTCACCCAAACCAACGGGAATGCTCGCAGGGTCACAAGTCACATCCTGGAATGCACAGACCTTTAGATTATTTTCAATGACAATGACTGCATCCACAGAAAACACGTTTCGAGTAACACAGATTTGTGTACATGCCACCCTGCTGTCTTTTCCTCAGAACATTTCTGGATGTAGGTTTATAAGAGGCTCATTCCATCTAGCTGGCAGCAATCTTTTCCAACACCATGTAGGCCAGCCCCTAATCCCTATGGTCCTCCAACTGGGTGACCATCACCCATGGAACTTTGGACATTAGGGCAAATAACCCTTTGTAAGACCTGGGCAAGAGATACCCCTGCAAACATGGACAATAATTCATGTTCCTTCCAGAAGGATCTGAGGTTGTCACCGCTAACCACTCTTTGGAGTGATCTCCTGAAACTCTCCTAGAACTCATAGCATCAGGCTTAACATGAGGACTGGAGAGCTCAGTCTTTCCTAGGAAAAGAGGGGAGCAATGCACATCTGGCCTAAACTGCTGAGCTAATTTCTGCACCATGTCATTCTCCCACAGGCAGAGGAAGTTTGAGCTGCCCATAAAGTTGTTCACATGCTTGTAGTATCCAAATCTGTTTATAATCTACCACAGACAGTAAATAGAACACCCAAGATTAAAAAAGACTTAGAAAGTCCTTCACTATTTTACAACCAAAGGGATAAGAGCCTGGCAGATCTTGAATCAGTGAATTGACCAATCAAAAAATTCGTCACTGTTATTTAGAAAAAGTCTGCCCCTGGGAAAAACAGTTATTCTGTAAACGGCTCGCTGAACTCAGGTTCTCTGGGGACAACACTGAGTTAGATCCATATGGCAACTAGTCAGAGTGAGAGGAAATAAGACCTCCTACAAGCTCAGGCTGCTCCCAATTTTCTCAAACAAATCAGAGAACAGAGTTGGCTTTCCTGAGCACATGAGGATGGTGATTGACACAATCTGTGAATACCGTGTAGGTGGAACAGCAACAGAAATATGTAGTAACAGCCCAGCCGATATAGCTCAGTGGTTGAGCTTCAACCTACGAATCAACCAAGAGGTCACGATTTGAACCTGAGTCAGGGCACATGCCCCTATTTCAGGCTGGATCCCCAGGTTGGGGCATGCAGGAGGCAGACAATCAATGATTCTCTTTCTTCATTGCTGTTTCCATCTATCACTCCTGATCCCTCTCCCTTTCTCTCTGAAATAAAAAAATAATTTTTTTAAAAAAAAGGTCTACAGATGTTGTCATCCAAGTGACAGGAGATAATTGTAAAAAAAAAATTATATAGCAACATGGATTTGGGAAGACACCTGTGTAAATTACAAATTCTAACATACATGCCAGGTTGGTGTGTGTCAGTGGTTGAGCAACACCATATGAACTAGGAGGACTCAGTTCGGTTTCCGCTCAGGGTATAAGCCTAGGTCACAAGCTCAATCTCCAGTATGGGCATGCAGTAGGCAGCCGATCAGTGATTCTCATAATTGATGTTTCTCTCTCTCTCTCTCCCTCACTCATCCTTGCTGAAATCAATAAAAACATTAAGGCCAAACCGGTTTGGCTCAGTGGATAGAGCGTCGGCCTGTGGACTGAAAGGTCCCAGGTTCGATTCCGGTCAAGGGCATGTACCTTGGTTGCGGGCACATCCCCAGTGGGGAGTGTGCAGGAGGCAGCTGGTCGATGTTTCTCTCTCATCGATGTTTCTAACTCTCTATCCCTCTCCCTTCCTCTCTGTAAAAAATCAATAAAAAATATTTTCAAAAAAAAATAAAAATAAAAATAAAAACATTAACAATAAGTGCAACATACATACACATGCTTTCACAAAAGTAAAATATATTGGGAATCTTCCTACTGTTGATGATTGAATGTATGAGATTCAATTCAAACAAGTGGGGCTTCGGAGTTTACTACATTATTATTAGGAGCAAACTAAAACACTCTGCATTTCCTGAGTATGTAAGACCTTCCTCCAATGTGAATTCTTAAGTGTGCAGTAAGGTTAGAACTTTGCCTAAAAGATTTCCCATATTAACTACACACATAAAGCCTTTCTCTAGTGTGAACTCTCTGATGAGAACGAAGGCCATAGGTCGCAGCAAAAGATTTTCCACATTCACTGCACTCATAAGGCTTTTCTCCAGTGTGAACTCTCTGATGACAACGAAGGGTATAGAATCTGGTAAAAGATTTCCCACATTCACAACACTCATAAGGCCTTTCTCCAGTGTGAACTTTTTGATGATAATGGAAGCCAGTGATACTGGCAAAAGACTTCCCACATTCACCACACTCATAAGGCCTTTCTCCAGTGTGAACTCTCTGATGACAACGGAGGCCACTGCGAGAGGTATAAGATTTCCCACATTCATTGCAAACATAAGGTTTTTCACCAGTGTGAACTCTTTGATGACGATGAAGGGTAACTTTCCAAGTAAATGATTTTCCACATTCACCACACTCATAAGGTCTTTCTCCAGCGTGAACTCTCTGATGACAACGGAGGCCACTGTGAGAGGTATAAGATTTCCCACATTCATTGCAAACATAAGGTCTTTCACCAGTGTGAACTCTCTGATGACGATGAAGGGTAACTTTCCAAGTAAATGATTTCCCACATTCACTGCACTCATAAGGCCTTTCTCCAGTGTGAACACTCTGATGATAATGTAAGCCAGTGCTACTGGCAAAAAACTTCCCACATTCACTGCACTCATGAGGCCTTTCCCCAGTGTGAACTTTCTGATGTTGATGAAAGCGAGAGCTAGTGATAAAAGATTTCCCACATTCACTGCACTCATAAGGCTTTTCTCCTGTGTGAAATCTCTGATGACAACGCAGGCCATTGCTATCGGTAAAAGATTTCCCACATTCATTGCACACATAAGGTCTTTCACCAGTGTGAACTCTCTGATGACGACAAAGGTTAACTTTCCAAGTAAATGATTTCCGACACTCGCTGCAATCATAAGGCCTTTCTCCAGTGTGAACTCTCTGATGACGATGAAGGTGAGTGCTAGCGATAAAAGATTTCCCACATTCACTGCACTGATAAGGCCTTTCTCCTGTGTGAACTCTCTGATGATAACGGAAACCATTGCTGGTGGTAAAAGTTTTCCCACACTCACTGCACTGATAAGGTCTATCTCCAGTGTGAATTTTCTGATGACAATGAAAGTCAGTGCTACTGGTAAAGGATTTCCCACATTCACTGCACGAGAAACAGTCTTTTCCAGTATGGACACCCTTGTCCTGAAGAAACGTGTGGTTACAGCCATTGGCTTTCTTACATTCTTTTCTGGAGCAATAAGTTTTTCTCTTTGGAGACGTCACCCCACACATCGAGATGTCATTTCGCCTGTCCCTGGTCTGAGTAGCCTCTTGCTGGGGATGTCCTGACTCAGTACGGATGTCCTGCCCCACCTCTCCACAGGTAAAAAGCTTCTGAGACACATTGAAATGGCAGCCCTTTGCCAGTGAGATGCTGTTCATACTTCTTTTCAAAGGCTTCTCTCTGCAGTGCTGCTCCTGGTGCTGGTGAAATTGTGCATGGAAATGAAATTGCTTTGTACATGCCCCACACCTCAACAGTATCTGCCTGTGTTGTAATTCCTGCTGCTCAGTCAAGTGGAAGATGTTTCTCAAGACTAGTCCACAACTCTCACAGGGGTGGCTCTTCTGGGAAGACAAAGCTAACTTGGGATTCTTTGCCTGTGACTCTCTTACAGCAATGTTCTCTTCAAGCTGTGCCACCACATTCCCTGCTCTACAACAGCAACCTAAAAAACAAAAAAGAAAATGCAGGTGAAGTACATGGTGATCTTAGCAGAAGAAATACCCCTCATCACACTGGCCATCTGTCACAGCCAGGCATGATTCTATGGGATGATTTTTGAGACCAGTGAGTTAGACTCTGACAAAATGATTGTTATACATTACCTGACCCCTAAAGTCAGTCAATAGTGGAAATACTATGAAGGGAGGGACCTGAGGATAGGATGGGACACAAACAAGAGATACAGGGTCCACTAGGTATCCCTTTACAAACAGCTTCCTGTAGGACCTTTCATACCAGTGACACAAGTCTGTGTGGACTAATTTGAATGTGTTCAAACACATAAAAATCCATTGTATTTCAGCAAATGACGGGTAAAGTTAATATAACGTGCACATGTCAAGGCTCTCAAGACATGAACCAAAGTTGGAGTGCAGTAAAGAGGAACCTGTGAGGCAAGCAGTTCAGATGCAAACTTTAGAGAGGTAAAGATTAGAAATAGTAACTATTAGAGCTGAGTAGTTGTGCCTTAGCTGGGAATGGTCCTGTGCATGGAAAGTTTGCCAAATAGAAATCCGGTCATGAATTATAAAAGAAGTCTTTGGTCACAACCTACTCTGAAAGAGAAAAAAAAAAAAATCAGTATGTCCCCAGTAGTATTTTCCACTCTCAACTGTCATAGGAAAAAACTGCTTCCAAAGCCCCTGTGGACTTATAAGTAAATAAATAAATACATAAAATAACTTGACGATGGACTTCACAAATCTGTAAAGGAGATATGATAATCAAGTGCATGCGCTCTCACAGGTCCCTGTACAGATTCAATGCAAACTGAACAGCAGAATGAAAGTATCAGAAAAACAAAGGCAAACAGAATTGTGAAAGCACAAAGAAGAGAAACTCATTGCACACAGGGAAACGCCCGAATAAGGGAATTAGTAGATTTCTCCAAAGACATCTTGCAGTCTAAGAGGAAATATAATGATATATCCAAAATACTTCATGAGCCCGACTGGTGTTGCTCATTGGTTGAGTTTCGACTCAGGAATCAAGAAATCATGGTTTGATTCCTGGTCAGGGCCCATGCTAGAGCTGCTGGCTCCATCCCAAGGGGGCATGGAGGAGACAGCCAATCAATTATGTTTCTCTCTCTTTGATGTTTCTATCGCTATATCGCTCCCCCTTCCGCTCTCTCTAAAAATCAATGAAAACATATTTTCAAAAAATATTCTATGAAAACCATTAATACTTTATCCAGAAAACCTATTCTTTAGAAAGAATAGCTTTTCAGACAAACAAAACCTAAGGAAGTTCATCGCCACTCAACCTGACTTATTAGAACTGTCAAAAGAAGTTCTTCAAGATGAAATGAAAGAACACTAAATAGAAACAAGAATACATAGCAAGCCCTGGCCGGTTTGGCTCAGTGGATGGAGTGTCGGCCTACAGATTGAAGGGTCCCAGGTTCGATTCCGGTCAAGGGCACGTACCTTGGTTGTGGGCACGTCCCCAGTGGGGGGTGTGCTGGAGGCAGCTCATTGATGTTTCTCTCTCATCGATGTTTCTAACTCTCTATCCCTCTCCCTTCCTCTCTGTAAAAATCAATAAAATATATTTTTAAAAAAAGAAAAAAGAATACATAGCAAAATGTAAATCTCCCTCATAAAGTCGAGAATGGAATAAAATTCACAATATTGTAACATGCATTGGTGGAATGTACATTATGAAACTATTATAAAGGTTAAAATTGAAAACTAGTAAAAATACCGGTTCATAATGTGTACCTTAGAAGATGACCAATATGAAAAGATGTGAAATGTGACATCAAAAACATGTAAAGGGGTGTGTGGTGGAGAGTCAAAAGGTAGAATTTTTACAAGAAACTGAAGGTGTTGTCAAGATAAAACAGATTATAAAGAGTATTAGTTGTTTTATGTAAGTCTCTTGGAAACCACAAGCAAAAACCTATGTAATAGATATACAAAAGAAAACGAGTAAACAACTATACAAAATTATCAAATCACAAAGGACAATCACAAGACAGGAAGACAAAGGAGATACAAAAGAGCCAGAAACCAGAAACCATGTTGAAGTGGCAATAGTAGGTCCTAAAACAAATTCCCAAATCACAAGACAGTGACTGAAAGGATAAAAGCAAAAGAACAACAATAACTACAAACCAGAGGCAATATATGCTGCCTACAAAATACACTAAAACTTTATGGACACAAATAGGCTGAAGAGAATGAGACGCAAAAAATATTCCAGCCGAAACCGGTTTGGCTCAGTGGATAGAGCGTCGGCCTGCGGACTGAAAGGTCCCAGGTTCGATTCTGGTCAATTGCGGGCACATCCCCAGTGAGGGGTGTGCAGGAGGCAGCTGATCGATGTTTCTCTCTCATCGATGTTTCTAACTCACTATCTCTCTCCCTTCCTCTCCGTAAAAAATCAATAAAATATATTTAAAAAAAAATATTCCATGCAAATGAAACCCAAAAATGGCTGGGGTAGCTAAAGTTCTATCAGACAAGACAGACTACCTCAAAAACTGTCACAAGAGACAAATTCATTATAGAATGATAAGTTAATTCATCAAGAGGATGACAATTTTAAGTATTATGCACCAAAGAACTCAGCAACTAAGTATAGAAAGCAAATAATATCAGAAATGAAGACAGAAAAAGAAACCCAATGTTAGTAGAGATCATTCCACTTCAATAATAGGTAAATCATCCCATCAAAAGGCAATAGGGAATAATGGAAGTTTCACTAGACTTTAGACCAAACGGAATGAATAAATATATGTATACAGAACATTCCATCCTAATGCAGAACATGCATTCTCGTCAAGTGCACATGAAACATTCCCTAGGAAGATCACATATTAGGTCAAAAAATAAGTCTCAAACTTTGAGAAGAAATCATGTCAAGTATCTTATGTGATCACAATGTACGAAACTAGAAATCAACTTTAGTTTCAAGAAAGAAGGAAAATTCACAAATATGTTGAACTTAAACAACACACTCCTGAACAATAAGTGGGTGAAAGAAAAAACACAAAAAAGAACTCAAACCTGGTCAGTGTGACTCAGTGGTTGAGCATCAACCTATGAACCAGGAGGTCACAGTTCGAATCTCAGAGCACATGCATGGATTGTGGGCTGGATCCCCAATGTGGGGTGTGCAGAAGGCAGCCAATCAATGATTGTCTCTTATCATTGATGTTTCCATCTCTCTCTCCTCCCTTCCTCTCTGAAATCAATAAAAATATATTTTAAAAAGAACTAAAAAATAGAGGCAAAACAAATAGAAACAATCTATCAGAGCTTATGTATAAAATGCATAAAATGCAATTATAAGAGGATATTTTATAGGGATAAATGCCTACATTAAGAAAAAAGATCTTAAATGAATAACCTAATCTTGCACGTCAGAAAAATAGAAACAAATTAAGAAAGTAAGCCCAAAGCTAGAAGAGGAAAAAAACAATAAATATTAGAACAAACATAAATAAAATAGACAAAAGAAAAACAAACATATGAGCCTGGCTGGTATGGCTCAGGGGTTGAGTGTTGACCTATGAACCAGGTTGAACCAGGTCATAGTTCAATTCCCAGTCAGGGCACATACCTGGGTTGAGGTTTGATCCCAGGTAGGAGGAGTGCAGGAGGCAGCCGATCAATGATTCTCTCTCATCATTGATGTTTCTATCTTTCTCCCTCTCCCTTCCTCTCTCGAATCAATAAAAATATATTGTAAAAAAGAAAAACATATGATAACAAAGAGCTATTAGGAAAAAAATATATAAAATTGGCAAACCTTTAGCTAGACTAAAACAAAAGAGACAAGATTCAAATAAATTTAAAAAGAAAGAGCCCTAGCTGGTTTGGGTCAGTGGATAGAGTGTCGGTCTGGGGACTGATGGGTCCCAGGTTCGATTCCAATCAAGGGCACATGCCTGGGTTGCTGGCTCAATCCCCAGTAGGGGGCATGCAGGAGGCAGCCAATCAATGATTCTCATCATTGATGTTTCTATCTCTCTCTCCCTTTCCCTTCCTCCCTGAAATCAATAAAGATATATTTTTAATAATAATAAAAAAGAAATGAAAGATACGACATCACACCTGACACTATTAACCAAAATGCATCATCAGAAATGTTGGTCGTTAACATGACCTTACATAGAGAAAAATGTCCAGATCCCACTATAAACTTCTGAAATTAAGAATCTCTAAATACATTTCAAAAAATGTTAACACTATCTGCAGACTATCAATGCAATATCTCTGCCTGAATGCAGGGTTGTCCAAAACAGGGAATTTGGAAAAAACACACACCAAAAAACAAAAACACACACAATATCTGCAAAGAATAATAAAGCCCATGGAAAAAGACATGTGCTTAAATGTACGTAAAAAGAAATTAATATATAAAATATAGAAAGTATTAAAAAGGCATTAGCCAAAAAACATGGTTAAAAAACAGGCTAAGGATGTAGAGACAATTTTCCCCAAAATATGTACAAATGACCAACAGGAATATAGAAAATGCTTTTCCTGGCTAATCAAGGTGGAATCCATTAGGCTCCCTGCCACATACCAACCAAAATATACTTCCCTATGAGTTCAGTGCAGCAGGTATTGGGGCTGCACAGAGAGAAGCCGGCAGTGCAAGCAAAGGACAGCAACTACCC